TTTCTTTCTTTCTTTCTTTCTTTCTTTCTTTCTTTCTTTCTTTCTTTCCTTTTCTTTTCTTTTTTTTCCAGACAGAGTTTCTCTGTATAGCCTTGGCTGTCCTGGACCAGGCTCTCCTTGAACGCACTGAGACCGCCTGTCTCTGCCTCTCCAGTGCTGGCATTATAGGCGTGAGCCACGGTGCCCAGCTTACCAACACATTTTTCAAACCTCTTTCTCATTATTCTTCTTGAGCCAGAACTGAGGGTGTAACCAATGACTCTCCAGCGAAGGCATTTCTGCAGCAGAGGCTGAGGGAGCTCTGAGAATATTAGGAGCAGTGACTAGTTGGCAGATCTGGCCCTCTGCCTTCAGGACAAATAATGACTTGTAAAAACTGTCTCCGCAGTTAGCAGACCACAACATCTGACAAATTAGTAAACAAGCTCACAGAAGATGAGTTATGTTCATCAAAATGCCTAACTTTCATATAGTGATTAAAAAAATGAGGACCGGGCATGGTGGCGCACGCCTTTGATCCCCGCACTCGGGAGGCAGAGGCAGGCGGATCTCTGTGAGTTTGAGGCCAGCCTGGTCTACAAAGCGAGTCCAGGACAGTCAGGACTCTGTTACACAGAGAAGCCCTGTCTCAAACAAACAAATAAAAAAATGAGAGGACTGATCAAGAAAAGGGCTTTTGCATGATAAATGCCAGCTGAGTGAAGGGAGGGATAACCCAGGGTCCATGTGGGGGACAAGGCCTTGTCCATTAAATAAAGTAACTATACTTTCCACATAGCAAATTCATATACCACTGCTCCTGGAATCCTCATGGCAGAACTCTAAGGTTGGCAAGGCAGCTGTTACTTGACCCACAATTCGTAGGTAAAGAAAATCAAGGTTTGCCAGGCGGTGGTGGCACACACCTGTAATCCCAGCATTTGGGGGCCAGTGACAAGCAGATTTCTGAGTTTGAGGCCAGCCTGGTCTACCAAGTGAGTTCCAGAACAATCAAGGCTACACAGAGAAACCCTGACTCAGAAAAC